AGTCTCTTCCTTTTTAGTTCTACCTATTTCTGTCTGGCTCGACGCTTTTTTAACGTAATCCTTGTTCTACTGTTTACGCTACAATGTAGAGAATTTGGCATAAAATATGTATGAATGTCATAATCACTTTAGGACTTTGTGTAGTGTCTCCTACATATTTTTTTAAAGTTACTTATTTTTTTTTTTTTTTTTTTTTTAAACAAACAGTATACTAAAATAAAATATTAAAGTAAGAAATGAAAAGCCGCCCCTCTTCGGATTTCGATGATTTTTGAATATGTTATAAAATTCGATACTTTAAGCAACTTTTTTTCTTTTAACCTATATGTCGGGCTCGCTTAGTTTCTAAGATATTCGCAAAAAACAATGAATACTACTATATCGAATTTCGCCTGTACGTATACACCCGCGGATGTGTGTCCGTTAGCAAGAGACCCTCGCTTATCTACCGTTTCTGTCAACAGCACTACGAGGTTCGGCTACCATCCATATAACGTGTCAGCTTAAAATTAAAACACAACTGATTCTGAACTTTGACTTACGTGGCTGGCCACCTAACGCCGGCCGAAATTTTAATTCTTAATTCTTAATTCTTAATTATTGATATGTCATCAATTCCACCGATTTCGCTTATTTTTTAATATGTTGTTGGGCAACTGATGATTCTGAGCAACTTTGTCCTACACATGTAACACCGCCGCTCGGCTTTAATTTCCGACGATTATTTGCAAACGAAAGTTGCCACAATATGTACCAATGAATTCTGCGTATACCTACACTGTGTGCGTAAGCACGGGAATAGGCAGATTGCAGTGGCCGAAACCCAAGGAGTACATATAACTGGTGAACTAAAAAATCGAACTTGATTGATTTCAATGATTTTTTATTTTGGCATTTTGGTCGCTTCACGGCGGCTGGAATATTAATTTAACCTAACCTAATTCACTAATTAACAAGTTCACTGATTTAATTTTGTATTAGATTAGGTTTGGTTAAATTAACATTCTGGCCGCCGTTAGGTGGCCGGTCACGCATAACGAAATTCGAAAAATGACTGCCGTTATACGTTATTTAACATAAACTTACGATTAGTGTGTAGTTGATGAGAAATTGAATTTTTCATTCCCACCCGTTGTCTATACTGCTTGACGGGTACCATGCTGTGTTTATAGAAACTAGCCATCCAATACGCGCAGAATTCACTGTCATAGTAGAAACTTTCTTTTGCAAATATCTCGAAAACTAAAGCCGAACAACATATTAATAAAAAATGAGTGAAATCGGTGGGATTGATGAGATATCAATAATTACAAATAATAATAGTAAGAGGAGTGTTGTGAATTTTATTTAAAATTAGAGTTGATCAAGATGTACCTGTGTAGAAGAATGACACAGACGGTTTGGCAACATTCTCAATTGAGCGGGATATTGCACAAAAGTTAGCATCAGAAAATTTAATTGAAAAATTTGCTGCAGTGAAAGCTCGTACGTAAGCAACAATTTTAATTTTTCAATTGTGTTATTCTATTGAATTTAACAATATATTTCAGTTTTCCATAATTATATTCAAGTGATATAAATAAGCTTTGTATTAGTTAAGTTATAATAAAATGATGGGGTATCGCATTTTAATTCTTTAATTCTTCCTTAATCTTATTGTTTCTATCTTATGTTTGATGGAGGAAGTAGGGATAATAGGAGGGCGCAAAAAATAGAAAATAGCTCGCTTTGGAAAAGGCCTTGAACCAGTCCTGTTTACATGTAAGGGAGATCGGGTATGATTGTCACACGGGTTGGTTGTCACAATTATTATAATAATAGAAAAAATCTAAAGAATAGAAATGTACTAATAACTCGTGGCAACGCGTGGACGTGTTGTCGCCTCTCCCCCGCGATCACTCAGTTCGCTGTAGATTAGTATCAAGACACGACGGGTCATTGTTAGTTTTGAGATACACTTAAAGTAAATTTTTGCAATATCTTGCCTATTCAATAGAATATATGTTCTATAGAATATATGAACAATATATGTTCTTAGTATTGACTATAATTTATCTAACTTATTCTTATGATCTTTTTGCATTTTTCGAACTTCGTAATAAATGAGTGGATAGTTTAAGTTATTTAACGATGTGGGTCAAGTTGTCACGTGTGACAACTAACTAATAAAATTGTAACTTTTTCAATCGAATTGATTTTTTAACGATAAGACTGCTGACTTAATGATTTTCAATAATTAATAAGTTTGCTACAGCTACTTTTAATTTATTTTTAATGATTTTGAATTCTTAATTTTATTTTTTCTTTTTATGTTTCTAATTGTAAGTTTAATTTTGTGTTCAAGATTGTATAGTTTCTTAATTTCATTATTATTTTTAACCGACTTCGATAAAGTAGGAGGTTACTTAATTTGATCAGTGTTTTTACTTTTTTTCGTCGATTACTCCGAAACGGTTGGACCAATCGAAACGAAACCTTTTGCATCTTGTAGAGTATTCTCTCGCTTGGTATTGTAAAACAAAATATGTTGCAATTTTTTCATTCCTAACGACATTTATCGCAAAAAACGTAATGCTTCATTTATACAGGGTACGTCACGGAAAGCAGACGTTTTCTAATATAAATATTTCTCAGTTAATTTCTAGCGTAATTTTAATTTATTGTCACGAAATGATACATTATTACACGCCATTTTAGGCTATTTGATGATATGAAAAATTATGTCACTTAAATGGTGACCATTTTGGTGAATGCAACTTTTCAATCGCTCCCGGAAGTTCGCTACTACTCTCTTCAACAGTTCTTCGTTTATCATTCCTAGTTGCTGGCGAATGGGATACTTCAGTTCTCCTAATGTCCGTGGCTTTCCTTCGTAAATGCGTGACTTGAGATAGCCCCATAGAAAAAAATCACACATTGAAAGGTCCAGGTGACCGAGGAGGCCAAGGAACGTCACCGAATTTTGAAATAAGGCGTGCAAAGTTGCATTCACCAAAATGGTCACCATTTAAGTGACATAATTTTTCATACATAAATAGCCTAAAATGGCATGTAATAATGTATCATTTCGTGACAATAAATTAAAATTACGCTAGAAATTAACTGAGAAATATTTATATTAGAAAACGTCTGCTTTCCGTGACGCACCCTGTATATTTCGGCGTTTAGACTGCAAGAAATGTACCGATCACAATGAAAGCTTTCACATCTAATAGAGATGTTTTCGCGATTATCCCAATTGCAAAAATTTGTAGAATTTCTTATTTATAATAAGTATTTAACTCTGCAAGGAATGTACCGATCGCGATGAAACCTTTCACTTCTAATAGGAGATATTTCCGCAATGATCCCACTTGCAAAAATGTATGGAACTTGTTATCGTTAATAACCATTGTTATTGTAATTATCGAATAAAAACGGTGAACCACCTTATGGCATTCTATAAATACTGCTCGTTCGATTAAAAAGTGTGAAATAAAATAATTTTTTACAAAAAAATACAACCGACTTCAAAATGCGCTAAAAAGTATGAAATAACTTATATTTCATTTCTATGTCACGTAGGCAAACCGTTTTTTATCAAACATGCCTCCTTTCAAATAAACTTTTAACATCTGGAAAGGAAAACCCTCAGGCAAACAGACTACTTGCTCTTGAAATAAACAGCAGGCCCAGCGATAACAGAACCAAATGTTTTGGGAAAGCAATGGGCCCACCGTATTCGCACAGCAGATGCAACCACTCTAAACATCACCGAACAGACGGGCCCAGCCCGATTATCTGATAAATAGTAACCAGATCACCCTTTCTCATTAGTATATAAACCCGTTCGTACCAACGCTCTTCGGTCAGTACCTAAAGTCATCTTGTGTCGAGAACCTCGTGTTAGAACGTGAGCTGGTGAACGCTAGTTACTGAGATCGGGTTCAAGTCCCTTTCGAACAAAGTTAACCTTATAGAACCACCCCGCATTGCCAGTGCGTCAAAACCGAGCATACTGCGGAGATAGGTAATATACACATTACACACCTATCTACGTATATTCGCGACAAGAACAATTGTGATAGATTGAATTGTAAAATACATACATTACTGTGTCAACCCCACATTAGCATCTTACTTTCAAAACCCACTGAAACTAGTGACAGTTCCCACAACAATACAATCTAACCGCTCGGGATGTATTGACTTTAAATAAATAATATAAGTTAGGCGGCCTCTCATCCAAAAGCCTCCGCTAGCCACACGCGCTGCCTAGCCATCGCGTCGGCCACGTAACAGCTACAACAAAATACACTAAAAAGTATGAAATAATTTCTATTTCATTTATACAAATACCCAAGAGCTATTAATAAAACCTATTTACTCGTTAAATAGTATACTAAATACATTTCAACCTTTTCGGAGGCGGCGCAAAATTAAAAAGACCCGAAAATTAAAAATAACGATTTGATTGCGATAACGTTATAGATATGTTATAGGGGGAAAAAAAAACTGATCGAATTGAATAACCTCTTCCTTTTTCGAAGTCGGTTAAAAAAGTACGGACGCCGTGAGGTGTGTTCATCTATAACAGAATAACCTCTAATCGTAACGTAAATTGAACTCAAGCTTTTTATGAATATCTCGGAAATGAAAGCCGAATGACGGTAACGATGTACCGAGAGAAGTTATTTAGAATGTTGACGTTAACAACATATTTCAAAGCCACTAAAATCAGTGAAGTCTTTCGCTTTGTAAATAAGTACCAAAAAGTGTTTGACTATATTTATAATATAATAGAATTTATAATAATTATTCTAATGAATCCAATAAATTTTTCAGATGATTTTATAAAAATGCCACAAAGTAAGTTAAGACGAAAACGATGTTCAGCCAATCAGAAGATTTCACGATCGCTCAAAAAAATTGCGTAACTAGCAAAATATTTATCCAAGAAGTGGCGAAACGCTATAATGCTTCAAAAGCGACATCATTTAGGCACGTAAGTGCATTTAAAATATTAAAATTTGAATATACCTATAATAAATAACGAGACAAAATAATTGTTTTCCAAAAAACCGGGGAAACGTTACAAATGAAAAGAAAAAGTACCAAATTGCATTTTAACAGAAGAAAAGATTTGAAGTTTAATCTCCTTGTCTACATACTGCTATCAAAGGAATGATTTCTTTTAAATCATTTTAGCAGTGTAATCGTGTTTACACAATTGTGTAAAGTCCAGGATAGAATCATTGAATATCTTTTACGGATTATTACAGTGAATATAATATTAAGTTTTTTGTCCAAAATCTTTTATCCTCTGACCGAAAGCTTCAATCGAAGTACATAATGGAATTGTGATTATTTGTCTTAAAAAAGGTGATTATCTAGTACGAGGTGACCATTTATACGTAGAATACTTTGAATAGGACTTGTTCGAAATGCTGAAATTGCAATTCTTAGTCGCATGTATTTACATAAGTTTGTAGTCAATGTTCAGAAACATGGCCGTAGACCGCTGTAACAGTACTTAACTGTTACATTTATTGCGAATACAGCGATGAAGAAAATAAAAAATATTGTTGCCTTGTTGTGTGTCTAGAGCCATGCAATACAAGTAGGTAAATGAAATCTAGTAAAACAGGAAGAATCCACTAAACGGAATGGAATGATCCTTAATTGCATGCAAATCTTATATTTCAAATTATTAGACCTACTTTTATTTTTTACTTTTTTTATTTATAAACACAAATATTTTATTTCCATTTTATTCATTATAATTGAATTGAATAAATACATTACATTATTTAAAATTGTACTATTGTCATGTTATTTATCCGGCCCGTACAGTGTTCCAACCGAACGACCCACGTAAAATAAAATAATAGGCTGGAATATTTTCTCTTGTTTCCATTTTTTATTCATTAGTATCATAATTTTGATACTATTTATCGCAAAACTAAATTGTTATGGGTGTGTAAGTTTGTATTTATTATAAACATTGTTTTTATAAATGTAATAGCTCTTAGGAATTCATATTCTAAAGTCAGTTTGTTAATTTTGATCCTACTTTAATGCCTGGCTTACACTGCTGTTCGCGAACATTTCTATCCAGTGTATGTAGACCCGACGTAACATACTACAGCCCTGTAGCGCAGTTGCATTCCAATTACACAGGGTGTCTACGTTCAAGTATTCCAATCCCATTATTCCATAACTAAATAATGATGGTACAAAAAAATTATTTATATAAAAATTACATACTTAAATGGAAAGTATTTTTTCTTGACGAAAAAGAATTTTTTACGTTATTATTTTAAAAGATATGTATGATGATCAAGTTCTGTTTCTTAAAAAGGAACTACATATTTTTGTTTACATCACTTTAAAGTACTTGTCAATCCATGTGGAGGAAGGGGTGGTAATGTGGGCTCGAATTTTATATTTCTTCCTAAAATCTGAATCATAATTTAAACTGTTTCAACCCTTAACAATCGAGTAACGTCCGATGGACACGTTTTCAAGTTGATTAACGTACAGAATCAGATTTCATTTTATTGCGAAATCACTTCGTCTAATTTGTCTCCAAAATTATTATGTTACCAAAGCTTCCTAAAAGAAAATGATGTCTTTTCAGTTTAACAAATTTCGAAAAATGATATAAAAAAATACTGGTTTTTTAAGGGTTTTTGTGCGTAAAATATATGTAAACTAATATGTAAGGTTATCTGTGATGAAAAATGGCAGTAAAAGAAATTTCATTGAACTTAATATGTATTACGAAAATAAGTCATTTTTGGAGCTTTTAGAAAGGTGAGGGTACCTCATGGCTTACTCATGAAAATCATACAATATCCTTTGGTAACAGTTTGACATCAAAAGTAAATAAATCGAATTCTATTCTTCATATACAGTACCGAACAAAAGTGTTGGCACAGGCCGGAGGTTCATATTTATAAAATTCTCTGTAAATCTGTAAAATATACTATTTTCTTTTTCTTTTTTCTTTTTTCTATTTTCTTTAAGATTATATCAATCTTAAACATAAGTATAATAAAGCAAGATGGTAAGATACATATAAAGATCAGTTTTCAGCGAAAGAAAAGTATTGGCACACTTACGATTTTGCAATAGAAATTTATTATAATATATTAATTTAATATCTTGTATGTAATCCCTTTTTCTCTATTACTGTTTTCAAACGATTAGGTATTGAATACACTAACTTTTTTGTAATTTCTGGCCCTATTTTCCGTCATTCTTCAAAGATCACTTGCTTCAGTTCTTGTTTCGATATAATGTGGTGTCTTTGAATCCTTCTTTGTAATTCAGTCCAAAAATGTTCAGTCGGATTTAGGTCTGGGGATTATGGAAGGGTCGGTAACATAAGCGGTATATTGAAAATGATCCCCACCAACGAACGATATACGCTGTATGTTTGGGATCATTATCGTGTTGGAAGTCGACTAGTAGTCTGCGTCTAAATTTAGTTTCTCTGTACTTTTTTTCAAATTTTGCTTTAAAATATTTAAATATACATGTTTGTCCATGTTATTATCTATGAAAACAAGCTCTGCTACACCAGAGGAGCTCTTACACCCCCATACCATTACCTCACCTGTTTCTTTCTTCCAATTCTGTATTGGGACTTCGCCAAACTAAAATCCGACCATCACATTGAAAAATGTTAAATTTGCTTTCATCTGAAAAAAATACTTTATCCCAGAATGTAGTATCGTGATGTACATACATAAGTATTTGCACCTTACAACTCTTGATTTACACCCAGCATTTCTGAGCGATCTCCGTACTGTCAAGGGATGTATCTTCACACTATATTCGTCTTTTAATATTGCAGCCACTTCTGACGATGTAGTTTTAGGATTTCTTTTTTTATTATATTAACCATTTTTCTTTTTTCACGATCTGTAAGCTTCTAAGGATATTGGTCCGTATCTTGTGATATTTATTAGATTTTCTTTGCCGAAAAACAGCTTAATCACCTCTCTCACAATAAAACGACTTTTTAAAATAATTTCTCCTATTTCCGAATAAAATTTAATATAATTTTTCTTTTAGAAATTCTTTTTTTTTTTTTCTCTTCTTCTACTTTCCATATTCACTTTTTCTCTCCTTTTTTTGCAAAATGTACCGACTAAAATATGACGATCACTTTGAACCGGGGCGAGGAGAGCTTCCCGTGACCAACATTGGAAATATTTAACTAAAGTACTATACAGTAAAAAATTTGTTACAAGTGCCAATACTTTTGTTCCGCTGAAAACTGACTTTTATGTGTATCTTGCCATGTTGCTTTATTATGTTTATATTTAAAATTTATGATTCATGGTATACTTAAAAACTTTATATGATACTCAAAGTTATATTTCACAAAAAAATTAAATAGAAAATCGTATATCTTGTAGATTTACAGAGAATTTTAGACGAACCTCCGGCCTGTGCCATTACTTTTGTTAGTATGGTAACATCCATAGGATGTTACTTTTTCTTATTTTAAGAGTTGTCAATTAATAAAAAAAGAACAAGAAAGGTTCAATAATCTTCAGTTTATGTTTAATATTATCAATAAGAATTACACAAAAAAATACTTATATATAATGCTAAACCAAAAATGAAACGAAACTAGGATACTCTTACAACAACGGTTAAAAGGGGTAGACACGGCACGTGACCTCTCCGATTAGGCAGGTCGGTAGTACAGCAGTTTTTTCGTTGGGCCCGGTGGAGCCACTTGCGTGTTCTGTTACGAACTTGAAAGAACTAATTCTCAGCTGTCGTGCCATATGCATTTTGAAAGCGTGCGCGCAAGACGATCTAAGAAGGCAACACAGCACCTCAAGTATTTTTATTTACAAACTTATTACAAACATACCGCGACGGTATGCCTAAAGAACGAAACCGCAGACACAGTTCGACGAGTGACGTAATCAAGCTAACGCCTGATTTTGGCTACGATTCCAAATCGGCAGTCTTTTTAGTTTGACGCCACCTTATAACTACTAGATGAACTAAATTTGTCACGCGACTTGCTCTGTATTATCCACAAAATGGCGGAACTGGTCTGTGGGAATGTAATCACGATTTTTCGTTTTTGTTTTCTTAATTGATAAAAGTATAGAGGGTGCGTTACGCAATTGGGACGGGATATATCTTGAATTTGGTAACAGATAGAAAAAAGCTATTCGTGTAAAAATTGAATGGTATGATAATGTCTATTTTTTTTACCACTTTATTTTCTTCGTGAATGCAACAATGCAGTAAAAAAATGCGGATGTACTTTTTATTTAAATAGAATTGCATATTTTTTTTACTCGTATTAACTCCTTGGAACATTCTGCATAAAAAAGTACTATGGTACTATTAGGACTGATAAATGGAGAGGCCTCGGCTACCGAGATCAAAATTCAAGTTCTTTAACACAAGACCTTTTATTTCTCCCAAAAAACATAAAAATATAGAATCGTAACTCGCTCGCGATCATAACATAATTAACATAGGTAACTAAAATCGTGTCGTTCCGCTGTGCTCGTGTCTATATCTCCTTCTTTCCCCTCTCTGCTATTCCCTCTCTTCTATTTCGCTAACGGGCCTATGTCTAATAGTACAATGTTTGAAAAACTAATATTTCGTGAGATATCTCACGATTTTTTTCATAAGTCATACCGCTCAACATTTACATCAATAGCTTTTTCCTATCTCTTACCAAATTTAAGATATAATTCGTCCGAATTGCGTGACGCTTGTATTTTCAGAAATCTATAGTAACTTTGTTTTTCGAAATTCATAAAAAATACGAAGGAGTGTTAGTCAATATTCTGAGTGAATGCAAACAATTTAAATAAATAAATATCTCGCATACAACTTATGTAAACATTTGCAGAATTATTGCAAAGAGGAGATATATTCTTCTCTTGTTATACCTCCTCTTTGAGCAAGGTTTGTTATGGGGCGCTGTGAAAAATCCAGGCGGGCGTCTGTCAAAACTTACCGAAGAGGAACAATCTCAACATTCCTATTCCTTAGTGTTACTCTGCAAGGAATGTACCGATCGCGATGAAACCTTTCATTTCTAATAGAAGATATTTCCACGATGATCCCAGTTGCAAAAATGTATGGAACTTATTATCGTTTATAATTATCGTTATTGCAATTAACCAATAAGAATGGTAAACCTCCTTACGGCATCCTACAAATACTGCACGTTCCACTAAAAAGTGCTAAAAAGTGTAAAATAATTTATATTTCGTTTATACAACTGCGTAACAATTATTAATGAAACCTTTTGCTTCATTAACAAAATGCGCTAAAAGGTATAAAATAACTTCTATTTCATTTATACCAATACTCGACAGCTATTAATGAAATCTATACTACTAAATACATTTCAACCTTTTCGGAAATGGCGCAAAATTGAAAGGTTTTTTCTATTAGGAAGATCCTAATTCAGGCGACGGCAACCTACGACCCGATAAAAAGCGGGAGTCGCCTAAAAGTGTTTGTTTATAATTACTGCATAAAATAAATAAATCGAAGTTGGCTTCGACTTTTGATCTTAATTTGAAAATAATTAACAATAGTAATATTCTTATTGCAACGCCAACGTTCGTTTTCTGTACTAAAAATGGTAAAAAATTATTTAAATAAGGTGGAAAAAGAAATAAAATTTTGTTCGTCCGATGTTTTCTTTTCGAGAAAATGAACTTTAAAGTTTTATCTAGCATAATACATTTAAGTAAAACTTGACTTACCAGTCTTATCTGATAGTAGTCTATTGTCAAGTATGTACTATTGTCAATGCTTGTGTTTATAAACATTTCTAATATCATGAAGTGCATTGAAATTTTATTACTTAAAAAAATTGTTCAAAAGATTTTCCATTATTTCAATACACAGTCGAATCTGACAAACATACACTGCTTGGTAAAACTTTAGAGTAGAATTTCTCGAAAACGAAGGGTAGGATAAAAAAATTGTATTCTTCTTTTTCGACTCATTTTTTATTCGTAGAATTTTCCTACAGAAAAACTCGATAAGTGTTCAGGATTTGAGACCGACGACGAACATTTAGAGAACAGAAGATTCGATTCTGCAAATCGTTTGTATTTTACCGATGTCGACGAACGTAGAAAGAGACAGTTTGATAAAGGAGAAAAGAGGTGTACTGAGAGTCGAGATGGTCGTAAAAAATTAAATGTTTACATATCGGTGAAACAACACTAATGCAACACAAAGACATCTTTTTATTTATACATTATGTTTGCTAAATAAAAATGTTATTAAATGTTACATGAAATTTTTCTGATTCAAATTATTCATTCCTACAATAAATTACAAATCATATTATAACGCAGAAACATGTCCGTGAGTTACGCTGAGACGTTGTACGCATGCTCGAAAACAAGGCAGAAAAATATTATATGTGTACTCTTACAATGATAGTACATACAGTAAAACTCTTATTAAGGGACACTTTTTAAGGGATACATAAAAACTAATTACGTCATCATTGTGGGTGCTTCGACTACTTTTTCTTTGATTAATTTCTTTGTAAAAATTTACTGGGCATGTCTATCTCGTACGATTTAGAACTGCACAAGGGTCACCGTTTCCATAAGCTAATAGCGGATCCTGCGCAACAAATTTTCTAAAAAATCAAATTGATGCATTTTTACAACACAATGTAGTTTACAACGAAGTTTTTAATTAAAACTTTCATTTGGTTTAATATCATGGAATTGAAGCTTAGGGTGGATGGTGGGCAAAGTGAAATTTATATTTTAACTGATTAATTCCCCGTGCATAGGACGGGGCGTTCCACTAGTAATTACAAAATTATATGTACATACTGTAAAAAAGTACAAAAGATGTTACAAACAAGCATATGAAGTTGCAGGAAGATATAAAACATAAGATTATTTTAAGATTATTCAGATTAATTAAAATTATTATAACCGTATTGTGTTTGGTTTGATTTTAATCAGGAAAATCTTATCAATATATTAATGAAATTGTTATTAAGAAAAAATAAAAAATAAAAAAATTTCATCACTGCATTAATTTGTTTCACCGATATGAATGCGACATATAGATGTTCAAAGGAAAGCCGCGACGTGTCATATTGCTCCTGTGCTTGCTGCATGGTGGAACCCCCCAGTGATGGGGATAAACCGCGAACACTTAACGGATAGATCCATTCGAACACTTATCGAGTCTTTACTGTATATCCAGTTGTACCACCAGTTACGAACCATCCTGTATAACTAATATAGCAACACTTCATGCGAAAGAGATTCAGATTTTTGGAAAAATGACGGTACATTTTTCAATCTTTCTTTATTGATAACTTTTTAATAAACAATGACCGACGGTTAAGTTGTAAGGAAAAGTTACTCAGAAGAGTGACCTCTATAATATGCGTCAAGATCAACGTCATTGGAGTTGGATCCACTATTCAGTATATTCACCTTGAAATCGTTTCATGTTGTACCACGCTAATTAACATTCTGTATGTACACGTATCTAAGTATCTACATTTCATAGTAATACAGACTCAAGTTAAAGAAGTGTACATGCATGTGCACGTAAGTATATAATTAATATACTGGTAACATATGAATTTTAATTCTTTTTCAGGATTATTGGTGAGAAGCAAAAGGATATAATTAAGGATATCATTTAACGTGTCAAAATAAAACATAAAAGATTCCATACCAGAGTACAATAATTATACAATATTATTCATATAGTTGATTATTGTTATAATTACAATTTATCTTCTTGGCACTTATAATGAACCACAAGAAATAAAGGATAATATCGAGAAATATAAACAAGATTAGGCGTAAGCATATCATTACTGATTTTGTGTACAAACTAAACTTGATTACGTTAATAAATACCCATGTAGCTATTTCTTAAATTGAAATTAATATGACCACTAATCTGGACACAACTCTTTATTAACCCTCGGAAGACGAATTTCCGAACCATTCCATGAAAAAGTGGTAGAGGGAGCGAAGAGGATTGCGGCATCCACTTAAGTTTATCATAATGGTGAATTTGCAGATTAGCTACTCCTTCATTGATTTCGACGATTTTGAAATACAGTAGCTCAGAAAAGTAATTCGGACACTCTTTAAAACAGAATACATCATTTTTTGAGAAGTTGTACAAATTAATTTACTAAGATATGTGCTTTTGCCGTTTTAAAAGATTACAACGTATGTTGAAATCGTAAAAGAAAATAGTGAAGGGTAATTTTTCAACTTTTTTCTGTGAGCCTATAATGAAAATTTAAAATATGTCTTTTGTAGATTCAAATAAGTTATGTGTATGCTGAAAATATCAACGAGATCGATCAGTGCACTTAGAAGTTACAAGTAATTAAAATTTCCGAAAATCGTGACTTTTCACCTAAGAACGTAATTTTTTAAAACGACGAAAGCATATATCTTATTGTTAGTAAATTAATTTGTGTAACTTCTCAAAAAACCTCAACTCATTTGGTCCAATTTTAAATAGGGTATTTTGTTTTAAATAGTGTCCAAATACTTTTCCGAGCCACTGTATGTTGTAAAATTTTACATTTTGAATTTTTTGAACTTTTCTCTCTTACAGAAATGTCGGACTCTTACAATTAGTTGTCGATATTACTATATACTATTACTATACTATTACGTCGAATTTCGCTTATACGTGTAGACCAGACCGTGACAGTACATACATTAATCGCTCATCTGGTGTTGCTATAAACAACAGCATAGGACCAGCAACCAGTCTAGATAACGGGTGAACTTAGGGATCAAACACAACTGATTTCAATGATCTTGAATTATGACTCGTGTAACCGGTCGCCTAATGGTGATTGAAATACTGCTCTAATTTAACCTAACCTATTCCAATGATAATGTAGCTAGCCAGCTTGTTATGGTATATGAATATATGGCATACATAGTAAAATTGTAGAAACAATAAACTGGTTAATAATTAGCGGATCAGTGAATTAGCTTAAGTTAAACTCGATAAGGGGCTCACAAACTAGGAATTGACTCCCGTATTTGCATGCGTGCACTGTTACGAACATCTAGGCAAAGAGGAGCTATAACAAGAGGCGCCACTTCCGGCGGCATCTTTGAAGTCGATTCGTTGTCCCTTTAAATGGGTTATATCAACGAGCAGGAAGTTTGAATGAATTGGATGTAATACTTTTATTTCATGATAATCTCGGGTGTACTTCCGAAAGGCCTCTCCCACCCTAGCCAAACTTCGGATTTATAGTAACTGAGGGACAAGACCATTTTCAAGTCCGGCAAATAAACCGTTCTCGGGATACATATATGAAATATACTCATATTCGGCTTGAAAATCAGATTGCGCATACGCAGAAGAGAGTATGGCTGCTCAATGGCTCTCTTGCTTCCTTGCGTGCTCCCTCAGCAGAACCAGAATGCTCACTCGTCATTCTTCCACCAGCTCTTAAGCGCTCAACTTTAGTTCAAATTTTAAAACTTTTTATTCTTTGATTTTGATATCAGTTTTTCTCGTCCCTCAATTACTATTAATCCGAAGTTTAGCTGCCCTAGTGAGGAGGGGAGGGTTTTTGGAAGTACACCTCCACACGGGGGAGGGGTTTTAGTGGATAGGATGCCGCCACTCGTGGGTGGCCCGGACGTCTTTTAGCCGAATAGTGCGAAAGAGGCTGCTCCGAGCGTACGTAACTGTAGTTCCCATGTGGCAAATTAAAAAAAAAAGGTTAGGTTAAGTTGGGTTAGGTGGAGTAGCCTTCAGTTAAACTAGTTAAGTCTAGTTTACGAGCTAACTACTAGTTACCTGTATCCCAGAAACGGTTAGAGATCCAGCTCTGTAATTAGTCTCAATCGATTCCTCGTGTGCTAAAACCCCTATATATAGACTCTCATCCACCTAGAGTGGGAGGGCCTTTTGGAAATTTCCCCAAGCGCTAAAGCGCACCTTGACCTACCTTGCGGATAAAAGGGGCTACAGGATAGGCGTTCAATGATCTTAGTACACTGAGTTGCATTGAACTTGTCGCAGTGAAGTTGGCTACAAATTCACTAACACATTCACGCCGCGTCGGTGAATTTGTAGCCAACTTCACTGCGACAAGTTCAATGCAACTCAGGGTACATACATATAGGTATCCAAAATATATATATATATATATATATATATTCTAGCGTTGTTGTTATAAACCCTTCGCTGACTTCAGGTGTTAGATATCGCCTGTTCGTTCTCGTATCTCACACTTATCGTTCACTCACACTAGGTCTCGCTCTTTGCTGACTGTCGCGGATCGGTACGACACTAGACTCGCGGCGCGTGGCTACGACTCGACCTTGGAAGATACAATCGGTTAGTAGTGGCCGTGCACAGCACACGGGTGCACTCCTGGAACTGGTCCAATTATGAGTCTGGCAGTTCAGACCACGGCGATACACTCGTGTTTGACCGTCGGCCGAGCACATCTATTAATGATCTTCCAGGTTTCGAGGAGCTAAGGACGCGCGTTTAGTGCTGGTCGCGAACGGACAATATTTCGTCTCTGATTCACGCTATCAAGGAACAGCCGGATCTGCGTTGTACCAGCGTCTTATACTCCCAAAAGGGGAGTAGATCACGCTCGTTGCTTGCGGAAATCTGCTAGTAAAGGTTTTCGCCATCGAATTCCGCAAGTTCTCTGACTTTGTGCCGCGGGTGTTGCCGGGCGAGAAAACGCTGATGCTTCATGGATTCCAGAGCGAGACCTCATTGAAATAGCGAAAGACGAAAATGAAGTTATGACTGGGGACGTTACACTCTAATAATTGTAAACCTTTTTGCGTCGTCAATTTTTTTGTATACTATTAATCGAAGTATTTACATTAATTTTACATTATTGAGAAATGGAAAAATAGGAAATATAATAAAATGATAGTATTAGAAATGTATTTAAACATTAATTAGGTACATAATTGTACAATAAGATGAGAGAAGGTTTTGGATAATATATTTAAAGGACATTACAATATTTACAAATTCGATACCAACCACTGACTAATGAGTAGATGTGATCACTTCGACCAATCATACGTCACGACCGAAAGTACTATAGACCGATGAGAAGTTGGCGAGAGGGACGGCACAGGGGCAAAGGGAACACTTGGCACGCTCCGCCCGGTCCCCACGTTTGATCCTTGCCGTTCAAAGTTCGCCGCAACGCTGACTTCGTACCATCTCGCTTTGCCGCGAACTCTCATTTTTTTCTTTGTCAGGTGACGCGATTAGTGTGTGATCGCATCGGCCAATAGTGCGGGACTATCTAGAATACGTGTGCGTGAGGTGTGACTTATCGACGACGACCAATCGTACCCGCATTGCTCAGCCTTGCCAACATCGCATCAGCATACAGTACGTGTGAGCTGAAGTGGGGCGCGTCCAATCAGCCTACACGCTGCGAGAAATCTTGTGCGTGAAAAGGCTCGCATATCGAAACTTGCATGCGTGAAAGTGTTGAAATGGTTCGAGAAATAAATCGGATGTTCCAATGCGTTTCGAGCTCGGTACTTAAAATGGACTCTGTGAATGAAGGTGTTGCTGTAGTTAGCGTCAAGTTGAGTGATTATATGATTAAAAAGTTAATACAAACAAACAAAAAAAAGGAAAAAAACAGTGTGGGAAAAAAAGTGGACAAATATGCGTGACCCTCTGTCATCAAAACTCAAATTAGAAACTCAAATTACGTTATTTATATTCGGGTGACTCAATTAGTAGTTTGATGTATCTGTTTCGAGTGCCAAGTACTACAATATCCCGTTTTATACCTGAAGTTTGTGATGCCTTGACAACAGTTTTGAAAGAATATTTACAGGTAAGTGTAAAAAATACATGATAATATTTATGTATTGTTTCATTTGATGAATATTATGATATAAATAACATTAATATTTTAATATTTCTTAACATTTTGATAAATATTTAAAATTAAAGTAATTGAAAATAGGATATAGAATCATCGATAGAATCTTGAGAAAAATCGGAAGTAGTGCTGGCAGTTCCTGGTGTATTCCTGCTCATTGCATAATTAGGAAAGGGAGAATGACTGTTTTGAGAAGGGCTATTTGCTATCGTATGCATACGATAATTTATACGCTTTCTAGTAATTAACTGTTGGATTTCTTCAACTGCAATTGAAGCGCATCTTCCAACGGTATATTATAATTGCGCAGCAATGCTTTGTCCGAATATATCAAATTCGGTTTCTTTCGACGTCGCGATTGCATTGATTCAAATAGCTTCTAATCTATGTAGGGCTGATGATAGAAATTTTTCATCAGCTTCGTCACTATCTTTTTTGCTTTTTTTCTTTCTTGAACTAGAGTGTCCAGAAAATTATGGTTGTGAGTAAATAGTTAATTCACGGCTCGTTGGTTGTTGCTGAAACATAGTCCCAGCTTGGGTTACTGGTTCCTCCAAAACATTAACATCTATTTCATTTGATGCTGATAGATCAACAATTGTAGCATGATTTGAAACGTTTTTTATTTGGTTTCATTCGTCGTCTTCAGTAACATTTATGTGATCAACAATCTAAAAATGAAAAATATATATTCTTATCATATTTAATATGTTACTTTATTACAGGTACCCCTCTACGTTTGAGAAATGGGAGCGTATTCAACGCGGATTCGAACATCGTTGGAATTTTCCAAACGTAATTGGCGCTTTAGATGGAAAACATGTAAATATAATTTTGCCCATCAGCAGTGGATCAGATTATTATAATTATAAAGGAAAGTACAGTATAGTACTAATGGCGCTTGTGGACGATGACTATCGATTTAC